CGACTGGGATGAATTTTTTCGAGTACAACGCGAATTACAGACTTCGAGCATGTCAGGCTTGAATGAATAGAAGAACAATCGAATTGGTAAACAATATGGTTTGGTAAACGATGGAGCATTAGAAATGGACATTAGAAACTATAAATGAACAGACATTCTCATAAATAATGACCAGATGCACTCAGAGAAAAAATGATTGCAGTTACTAAAATTTACTTATAATTTATAGTTAAATATTTTAGTTATTATAATATATGAAATATTGTAGTTAATTATATTTTCGATGCCAATTATACATATTTTTTTGTATAAATGATTATTATTAATATTACAATAGTAATAATTATAAAAGTGAAACATAAGTAACTATAATTATTTTACTATTTTACAATCATAAATATCAAACAATATCTTTTTTCTCAATGCGATATCCATACATATCGGATCACGCAGAGACTAATATAAAGACACAATCGAGTATCTAAACTTGAAAACTAAGATCGTCAAGGAAAGAAACATAATATGTGTGTGTGTGTGTGTGTGTGTGTGTGTGTGTGTGTACGTGCGTGTGTGTACACACACACACACACACACACACACACACACACACGTGACGTTCATTCGTTACCCGTTAGCCATATTTTCATCGGAGGACTGACCTTTAAACCACGTCCCGATAAGACATCGCCTCGTGAAGACTTTCTCAAGTCATCTGGTCATTACTGATCGTAAAGTGCGACATTCCTTTTTCCTCGCATACAATCTTTTCCTCGATCATGATATGAACAATCCCAAAATGTGTTCTATCATCGAGACGAATATCAAAAGGAGAAATTAAGATTACATTCTGCACAATTTTAGCAAAGATGGAAGGATATTTCGCGTGTACAGATTTCTGAATGAATCGTTGATTCTTCGTTTCTTTCGTCATTTCGAAGATTATTTCTGCTACGCACTTTTGCCTAGAAATGATGATAAGATATTGGATTAGACTTCTAACTCGATATTGAAAAGAGAGTAAGATCAAGTGAGACATAATACCTCTCAAAAATCATGTAAGCATTACATTTCTGACTTTTAAAATTAAAATTCTTGTTCACTCACCTCAGATTATTATCTCAGATTGTGACGTCAAAATCGAGAAAACAAATATTCATACAATAAATATTCTTGTAATTGTATACAACAAATATTCTTGTAAAATATATTAATATGAAAATGTTGTGTATAATAAAACAACATTTACAATCGATATAATTAAAAAATATAAAATATAATGAAAACTCTTGTTTTGTTTCGTTAATTAATAAATAATCATATATTAAAAATGAATAACTAAAAACAATTGAATAAGCTATGTATTTACAATTATGACAAAATTAATAATATAGAGATAAATACAATTTTTTTTCAAAACAAAAAGATAGTATTTCGATATTATTTCATTCATCTATTCTATTGTAAATATTGTTTTATCGAAAAATATTTCTATTCAAATAGAATGTTTACTGTGTATTCTTGCTTTGAATGTCTTCTGAGATAATAATAATGAGTGAAGAGGGGCCTTAATTATGAACACAAGAAAAATATCAATATATATTACATGTCCACTTAATAATATAGTCGTCCTTATTAGTGTTACTCGAAAACATGCTAAGTGACACTTTTGAAATTCTAACTAAAATAGAAGTAGGAACATCAACAATTTTGTTAAATGAAATTATAACATCAGTTTGACAGAGACTACAAAATCATTGTACCTGATAATAAATAATGTTACAAATTCATAATTCTCAAGGAGATATTTTTAGAAGAAGTTTAAATTAATGTTTAAATAATATTTATATTGATGTTTATATTGATATAACATTGATAGAAAGACTCTTTATAAAATTCCTTGAATGTACAAACGTCGCATCTACAATGTGTGCGTTCGAAGTGCGTGTATGAATGGAATGTAGAAAACCAAAGTCCGGCTAATCTCAAATGTGGCTCACATTGAACAGATGAACAGTGAATCGATCGATATTCATACGTGCATATTCGTACACATATGTCTCAGACGGCGCAGGTGGTCTTGTTTTATTAGTGCCAGTAGATATATGGCACGACACGCATAGTGAATATAAAAGGAGAATTTATATAGCTGATGTGAATCCGAATCGAAATTGGATTTGAGACGAACACGTTTCGTTTCGGGAATCTGTTAATTCTGACTTCTTAATGTAGGAAATATCAACTTCGAGATTCGAATTTCCATTAAGTTATAACAAAGAATTCGTATATAAAGTGCTAAATAAATGAGTAACTTAACAATATTTACTGTCATATCGCTCATTTGTCACAGCATGACTCAAAAAATAAAGTTTTCCAGAATTTATTTAATTATTTTAAATCGTTAAATTTTGTAATATTAATTTTTTGAAATGTTTTTGAAATTTTAGTGTAATAATTGATTGTAGAGGAATAAAAATGTATATTTTTCTTTTTTCTTTATATTTCCGTCCTTTTCTTGCAAGCAACTAAAAATGTTGAGTTATATTCTTGTCATAATAAATGAGCGATATATTCTCAACAGATAAAAAAATTTAATAGAAATTTCAGCCACGCAATATTAGAGTTATCTTAAAAGAGAGATGAATCGAGAAGAAAATCACGTTACTCTATTAGATTGCAAGTCTCTTGCAAAGATTGCAAATCTCTTAAATAAATTTCATCCACTAATAAAATGAGAGAGAACAATACCTTATCGCACACACGTTACTTTTAAAAATAAATAAAAATGATGGATTAATTTAATTACGTAGATATTTATAGGATTAAGAAAGTTCCCCGTAGTAAATTTAAAATACAGTCAATAGATAATGGAATCTTATTTTTCAAACGATTCCGACTTAACGTCCAGATGTCTCAAATGTCCTCCACATCAGTCCAAATACAGAACAAAAACGTACCTATCCTCGACTTTAATTCCGAGCAGTTTATGCGTATGCGTTGAGCCCAAGAAAAATCGTAATTGTGAAAGAGTGATGTTGCGATTAATTTTCTCTATCTTCGCTTGATTTTTTTCTAATTTAATTAAGACAATTCAGACAATTCGTTCGAGAGCGAACGAAGACAGTCAGAGAATTCGTCACAATCACGCTCGAGATTCACGCGAATGACAGCGGCAACGCGATACATGCGTCCGTACTCGATACGATCGTAAAGACTACTCGTTACAGCTTGACTGCTTGCTACTGTCGCTACTGACGCTACTTAACGTCTGCTGACGTCGGTTCGTTGGTTGAGGTTGAGATACGACCGGTGTCGTGTGTCGTGATCGTCCGGTCGTCGTCGAGGAGCGCCGAGCGCATCAAGTGTCTCGGGTGACTAACAATAAGTTGACTTTCGATGCGCCGTCTGACAACCACGCGTAGCGTAGATCCCCAACGTGGAAACTCGCAAGCGACATGAACGTGGGTGAATTTCTTCGTTGGGACATGACCATGTCGGTGTTGCGCGGCTCAAGTTCGAAGTTCGAACACGAGACTGCATTACTGCAATACCAATTCCGCGGCAAGCACCGTTACCGATACACCATCGGTGAGGACATGTGTGCACCGGCATTTGCATACAATACCGTGCGAGATTCCTTAACTAGTGTAGTACACTTAAAAATACAGACCTTCGTAGCTAGGATTATTCTAGCTATTTTATTCGGCCATTTTATAACCAATTTTTTCCCGAAATGAAAACACAGGCCGCATTAAACGGATTCAACAGTTGAGTGAGCGCTTACTGGTATATTCTTTTAGCTCATCCAATCAGAACTTTAGATCTAAAAAAATAATAACAATAACAACTCACTCAACTGTTGAATTCGCTGAATGCAGCTATTGATTTCGAATTAATTAAAGAACTTTTACAAAAATCCAATATTGGCCAATTTGAGATTAACTATATTTTTTATATTAGTCATATTAATATTAAAAGGTAATAATTAATTACTTATTTTGAATATATAAAAAATATTAAGAATATATATAAAATATAATAATAATTATACATTTGACATTCAAAATAAGTAGTTAATTATTATCCGGTATTACATTTCTAAAAGAAAATCATAGCAACTGCCAATAAATTATATCCCATAATTTCTACACTTGGTATATCCTTTGAAATCGAAGAGAAAATTTATATATTTGAAAAATTGTGATAAAATATCTTTGTTATATGTATATGAACAAATGCTATTGGGTTAACTGGTCGTATGCAGTGGCACTGATGTCAAAGATGACACATTACATCGAAGACGGAAAAAAAGAGAGAGACTAAAAATATTTTGTAAATGTTTATGTGTGCGTGTAAAAAAGCATAAACATATAAGATAGACCCAACATTAGCTTATATATACATAGGTTTGGTAGAACGAGAGGTGTGAGGCAAAATATCGGAGCAACCTATCCTTCTCAGCATCTTTACAGTAAACGTACTTTGGTAATACTCAAGAATTCTACCTTCCTCACCGATTTTGACGAAATTAGTCATTCAATGCGTTTTTGCACGAAATAAACAAATCTGACAAAAAAAAGTGACGCTCTGTCCCGTAGACTAAGATATTAATCGTTGAAGTTAACGACTATTCAGATTAGGAAATCTGTCGTATTGATGACATAGAGACATGAGAACAGTAAATGAAGCTAGAATATATATTGTTTGCTTTAATTTCGTCAAAATTGGTGAGAAAGGTAGAATTCTTGAGTATTACCCTTACTTTTATATCTTATTTTATTTTTTTTAATGATATAAATGTCAAGATGCGCGTATAGGAGAGGTTGCCCCGATATTTTGCCTCGCAACGTTCTGCCTAGCATACTACAGAAAAGTATACAGATGCTGGATCTTATATGTCTATGATAAAAAGATATATAAGAAATAAAAATAAAAGAAATAAGAATAATGTATCCAACGAGATCAGCTTGGCGACAATTGATCAGCTTGATGACAATTTTTATATAAGCATGAAAGGATACATTGCAACATTTCTTGCACTCCAAGGGTCGACAGCTCCCCATGAGACGAATAGCATTCTACAAAGTCCTTTCGGAGATCATGGAAATAGTTGTAATGTTCCGGTAGCTCGATGTCCTTATTGCAAGTCTCCGGATGCAAGCATTGTCTCATGGATGCCTGACCGTCCACAACAAATCTTGGCTTAAGATCGGAAGTTACGCCAGGCATCGAGCTCCACCAAATCTCAAACTTGAAACAAAAATAAGACATTTATATATGTGTTACATTATTTTCTCTATCATTTATTATTATTATATTAATTCTTTAATGATATTATCGAAAAAGATACATGCGAAAAAATTAGCAACTGTATTATTTATATCGCACTCCCACAAGAAAAGACACAAGTCCAATTCAGATACTTTACTTCCAAAAAAATGACACCAGAGAAAAATAACAAAATAAAATAAGAGTAGTTTTTGAAGGTCTAACAAATATAACATATTAAATTAATATTATTTCTACAGAATTTGAAACAAGCAATTCGTAAGTATTCTAAGTTGATTTATGTTTAATACTATAATAATATCATAAATAATTAATTTTAAAAATATATTCGTATTAAATTTTCTTTCCTCTCTTCTGAACAATTTTATGTTTTTTACTTGTATTCTTTTTTGTGAGCTAGGATGCGACAGTAATAAATATTTTTAAAAAAGAAAGATAATATTTGTAATTTAAACGTATTGAAGCTTTCAAAACAATTTTTTAGATTTTTAGTGATTTTTTTATATATTTTTGATGATTTTTTATATATTTTTGATGATGCCTTGTGTGAAAAGCGTTTTAATCTCTGGCACTCCCACTTTTTCAATATTTAGAAAAAATAAGTAGCGCTCTAGTCCCCCGAAGAGTTTTCTATTTTGGAAAGAGTTCCGTTGATTAAAGCAATGAAAATACCATTTAAAATATCGGGGATCAATTTCATGATTCTGAAATTTTTGAACTA